AATGGTTATATGGTGATACATAAATGTATTATAGTATATGATGGTATATAAATGTAAAGGGATAGTAAAGAATGGAGTATAGCAAAATACAAGTGCTTAGCTGTTATATTCTTTGTTTAGCTTGATGTCTCGTATATCTCACCTGTTTGGGATATATGGCATTTTTAACGGACGGGATTTATGCCCAAAGCATACAAAGTACGCAGATTGGATTCAGTCCACTAAAGGCAGTAAACGCATTACATGAAATATGTACCTCATGTCAGAACATTTGTAATATATATATATATGTAAAAAATTGTAATTATTACCTATTATTTTATATAATATACATATTTATCATCCTTATTCCTCAATAAAACTTTATAAGCACATTTTGTAAGTTATTGGCCGGTATTCATAGTCAGATCTTATATTGAAGATCGTCTTAAGTACAGTCTTAAGATGTCATGAATCAATCAAAAGCCGCATTAGCGACTTAAGACATTACTTAAGACGGTCTTAAAATAAGAACCGACTATGAATACCGGCCTTAGTGTCATTTTATGTTTTATAAGCATTATTTGTAAATTTTTCATGAGCCATACATCCCATCCCCCTCCCACATATATCCTACTCCTATAGGATAGGATATACAGCAAAAATGCAAGGGTTTTAAGAAGTTCTTTTTTTAATACGAAAAATAAGTATTTCGGATAACTTTACGTGGAAAGTCATTACGTAAGGAAAAGGTGAGAGGGATAGTTTTTAATATTATATTTAGTAAAAATAAGACGTTATTTTTCAAACTTTTTTAAATAACTTTTTAAAATTATTAAAAAAAAGTTAATAACTTTTTCGGAACGACGGTGGCTAAATTCTGTTGGAGATTACTCAGGGAGATTACTCATGACCTTGACAACATATGTCAAGGTCAACGTCATCGGCATTGGCTCCCTCCATTTGAATATTTACCATCTCCATATTCTGTTTGTAAGAATGAAAACGGTATTATCTTGCAGAGAAGAAACGCATGAATGGATTAAGCTCAGTTTACGATACGTACGAAATCTTCGCTGAAGCGTGTGACGCCCGATAAAATCCGTCTGGTTAGTCCCTATGCGCGCCGTTCTCGATTCGATTTTATTCCCAACAGTCGACAGAAGAATTAAAAAAATGATAAAAAGTTTCGCGAGAAACGGCGGAAGAGTCGCACACGTTCTGAGCGTTTATACGTTCGCAATAAGATGAGATCTACCCCTTTTTGCTTTCTCTTCCATTCGTTTCCGTTTCTATGACTTCGATTTATCACAAACGCGCGAGAAAAATCTCCACCTATAGCACAAAGGGTGGTGCGAGAAAAAAATAGTTTGAAGTCGATTAAAAAAAAAAAACAGTAGTTTCTCGGCGCGGCACAGTAGGCGGGCGGGTCGGAGAAGGATTAAAGAATGGGTAGATAAATCTCGTGAGAAATAGCGGATAAATCGCTCTCGTCCACTAAGAACACACCTATCTTCAATAAGATTCTGTCCCCTTGCCTCTCCTTCCGCGTACTCGCGTTCTAAAACTCGATTTATCTCGCGTTCGCGCCCGAGATTCTTTCCGCAATATGAAGCGCGCAGAAGAATTCTCAATGACGTACGAGTGAAGACAGTTTTGCTTGAGCGTATGAATTCTCCATTCCTGCTGATTAAGAAGTTTGCCGGCGAGAGACGGTGGAAAAAAAATGTACATAAACTTGAGAAGGTATAATAAAGTGACGCAAATGAAGTATAAATACGTTCGCTAGAGATCCATAACAGATTGCAACATGTTTTGTTCGTCTGATTTAATGATAACGCAAGGAATTAAAACATAGTTTCGTATAAGTTAATTATAATATTAAGATGTAATCGTATAATGCTCGATTTCTTGAATGACAAACTTGCATGCAGTCATGCCTGCTCTGACGTATGCTAGAATTCGTGCATTGAACGCTATATGCTGATATACATTAGAGTTCCTATAATAAGAACAAATAAGAGTTACGTCATCGAGGTAATATTTTTTGATTGGTTACCTAAATCCGTTATATGCAATAGTCAAAACAAGCGCCAGTTTCAAATATTCCATATTTGACACAACTTAATCTTGCATTTAAACGTACCTTCATCAACTTTAATTGCTTTATCAACGTCATTCTTGACTTTATCCAATAATGGCGCATTTTTATTTTACAGCTTTATTATTAATAATTGAACATATACACTTGTGTTATATGTCATGACATATGTCACGTGTCATGTGTGTAGCCAATTTACATCTAACAAAATCATTGTTACCAACGTTAATTTGATTGTATATGGCGGTTTGGCGTTATAGAAACTCTAATATACACGATGTTTATTATGGATTATTTCATTGTTTATTTTCTTGCATATACCAATCAAAAGAAGCAATTGCTAATTTCGTTATTATTTGTTAAATGTAAGACTGTATGCATCAAAGCAAGCATGCATGATGCATGCTTATCTTTCAAGAAATTGACCATCGTGTGATTCTATCTTTAAACACTTATGCCTAAATTCTAAGCAGAATCGTAAGGCTCGTAACATATTCCTGTAAGATTTGTAAAAATTTTTAAGTGCTTATACCTTTATACAATATTTTTGCAGACAGCTTCTTACTAGCCATAAAATTTGTAAAAAAGCGTAGATATTTACGAATAATCGTACGTCTTACGATACATACGCATAAAATTAGAATACTAGTCATAAGTTCTTATACAAGTTTTACGAGAACACACATTACGAGTCTTACGATTCTGCTTAGAATTGACCCATTAATAATGATAATATAGTTACCGTAATAATTGAACATATACAATATACCTACATGTGCACAGTGTTGCGCTTAGATAATTAAAAATTATTTAGATATGGATAAGATAATCATACAAAAATATATCTTAGATAAGATGAAGATGATTAACTTTACATTAATCTAGATAAAAGATGAAATTTATAAAATTGTTGTCTAGATAATTTTTAAGATAATTTTGTTTTTAATTAACTATTAGGCAGTAAAACGATTTATGCCCAATTCTTCACCTTTAGATAACTTTATCCAAGAAATATCTCACAGAATTCAATGGAGATGTCTCCTGGATAAGGTTATCCGCAACTTATCTGGAAGTGAAGAAATTGAGCATTAGGATACAAAGAATGTATTTATATTTTCATTAATCTTTATTTTTTACGAATAAAAGTTTTGTCAACTTACATTTCGTCTAACAAACGATTTCTACTAGGGTTGATAAAGACTAATGTTTTTTTTTTTAAGAATAAAACATATTGTGTTTCTTCTTAAATATGTTTTTAATGCTTCAAATATGCTTTAAACAGTACTATAAAAAAACATATTTAAAACATATTAAAAACATCAATTAAGCATGTTTTAAAACACGTTTAAAACATGTTTTTTTTTTACCAATCCTAGTTTTTACGTGAAATTAATATTTGTTGTCCACAAATGAAAAGGCGCTCTCTGATAATAGCAATGATGTATCATATTTAAAAAAAATTTGTTTGACACGTGTGGATACAAATTAAGAATATCTAATTCCTTAGATTTATCTTCTAAATATGAAAGTACTTCAATGTCGCTTTGAATTATGACTGTCATACTATCCCAGTCATATAATCCCAGTTTTATCTATATCATAAAAAAATTCTCATCATTACTACTACTAGAAGTTATATAGAAATTTTTTTATAATACTTTTCTACAATCTTAATTAATTTGAAAAAGATTTTATCTAAGATAAGATAAAGATAATCTATATTCTTACTAATCTAGATATAGATAAGATAAAGCCATTTCTTCATCTATATAATTATCTAGATAATTTTATCCAGATAACGGAAAACACTGCATGTGCATATATAAAAGTATCCTGCAATGTTATTCTTATACATGAATGTTACAATCACAAATTCATGACAACTCTCTCTCTCTCTCTTTGTCAGATTTTGACGTTGTTCACATATAGACATAGTTTAATTATTTTAATATAATAATAAATTGTAACCTTGTTCATTTCTTCTTGCACAAATTCTTTTGGAATATATTTTACTGAATTTTAATTAGTATATAAAGGTTTTCAGACTGATTGAATTTTAAATAATTAAAGAATTAAATTAAAAAATTTAAAGAATTAAAAAAAAATTAAAAGAATTAATATAGCAAGTTTAGATCTAATATCTTTATTACCTTTTAAGTCCGCAAACACAATAAAGTAGTAAGCCTTAAGTCTTAAGAAATTAATTAATCACAGTCGAATGTGAGAAGAATAATTGACTATGATTGGTCAATTTTTAAAAGCTTAAAGCTTACTACTCTATTGTGTTTGCGAGATAATGAAAAAATTTCGTTCTTATAACCTAGAATTTATAACGGGGACTAGTAGCGAGGAGTCTCCAAAATGTATCATAAATATAAGGTATCAGCTAAATATAAATAAGTTTTCAAAAATTTTAGTTATTTTGGCCGTCATATTCCATTTATTATTTTAAATGTTATATTATTTTAATATTATTTCAAATTTTTAATGCATACAGATTTAAAATTAGCGACTTTAAAGACATTAATGTGAAGATTTTCAAAACACGTTTAGTATAACTTTTATACATAGAGAGACGCTGTTTTTTATTCAGATTTTTAATTTATGAGGTTAATTCAAGCATATTTTGAAATTAGATACTACTTAAACATTGTTAACCCATGCACATTGAAAATACAGCGAATATAATACAAAAGATATAAAAAAGAAGAATAGGAGATATCGTATCCAAAGGAAAACAAGCGGACATAAGTCCAATATCGACTAAAGCCTATAGCACATACAGAAACATAAGGCAGTAAGACGTAAGTAGTAAACGAATTGGGCAATCACAATAGAGACCGTAAGGCCAGTAGCGAATCCAATGTTACAATTTCCTCAGCTTACGTCTTACTGCTTTACATTTTTTAATATATGTGCCATGGGCTTAATAATATTGATCAGTTGGACCAACGTTCCCAACCTGAATTTTCGACTTTTCTACGACAAAACGAGGCCGCAAAAGGAGAACGTTCGAAGGAAACTAGAGAAAGCGTGAGAAAAGGAAAAAAAACCCGCGTCGACACCTTCTTGCACGTCTTTTTCGAGGACGAGCGTGTCGGCGGGTAACGTACCACTCATAATAAACGATAAAGGGAAATAAAAGTGCCTCCGCCACTGAATGGAGAAAAGGGAGAAAGGATGCAGAAAAGATGCGATGGAAGAAGGACGGATATAGTCCGGGGGGGAGGGGAAAGGGGAAAGCAGGAGAACGCGTCGGTGTGTGTACTAGTCCGTTTCCAACACGACGTGCTTCCCTATGCTTTTTGTTTTAATTTTCTAGAGGCCACCGGCTCCATCTCGTTCGCCTTTCAGTTTCGTCTTTTTTTTTCCTCTTTGCTTTCCTTCTCGTCGTGTGTCCCCCTATCCGCCGTCACGGCTCCGTCGTTGCTCGTCGTTCCTCGTGAGAGCTCCGCGAAATGTACCACAGTGGTTTTCACCACTGTGGATGCTGCTATGTAGGTAGGTATATATTCTCATCCTCCCCTCCCATCTCTCCCACGCCTGCTTTTCTCCATTCTCCCACGCCGGTCGTCCCCACTGCGCCCTGTCTCTCGCTTTCCTTTTCCTCCCGTTCCATTTATCCCTTCCTCGCGATGTGCTCTCTCATGCCGCCACCCCTTCGCTACGAAGTAAAGGGCTGAACCGGCCAGTGCAATTCCCGACGAGATCGGCGTCGAATCTGTGCTCTCGGTGATCGTGCACGTCGTGTCTTATCTCGCTATCTCGAGGAAAGTCCTATTTTTCTATTCCTCTTTCGCGACAAGTCATCACCGTTTTAATTCAACTGACGGAGTGATAATCATCAAGTTCGAAGGAAGGGTTAGCGATGAAGCGACAAAATGGTACGGTCAAAAAGTGATACGGCGTAGCACCGAGGAATACATACCAGAACATTACGCACCTCGTACACATACGCAGAAGGGATTAATCGCTATGATGTCAATTGTACCGTGCCATCTTCGGCGGAACCGCGATCCAGCGATCCGATCCAGCGACATCGTGCCACGACACGTAAGTTCCGCGGATTCGCCAGAATCCGTTGGGCGCGTTGCACTCTTGTATTGATCGGATCCACATCGTGGATCGTAGGTTGGATCCTGCGTAGGGTAGTTGCCTCCTCCTAGTCCTACCCTCTTCCTTCGTTCCTTCCAGTTTAAAGTTATTTATCGGCGTTCGCGTTTGATAGACAACATTCCGAGATTTTCCGCGGTAAAATTCTCACAGTGTAATACCTTTCTTGATGTTCGCGCTAATTGAACACGCCCGCGAATTGACCGATCGACAGAATCCGCTTAACACCGCGAATCTGGGATTTGGCTTCCTCTCCCCCCTTTTTTCGCAGAGTCCTTATGATTGTCACTTGAACGCGCCCGCCTACGCGGCAATTAATTAAAATAATCTCTTCGCGCGCGCCGCGCGTCCATTATTTCGAGCTACTACCAGGCGTGTCCGAAAAGTTTTGGGACTGAATGAATAAAACGGGAAATCAAAGCGGACAGGAAACGTAGATTGATATTGGCACGAATGTCAATCAATTGTTCGGAGATCAATTTTTGTCGAATCTGAATTACATTCGACCGATTGCTGAACAATAACTATCATCATTCTTGTTTAATCAATCTCTGGAGGAACTTATCGAGTCAAAATTTTGCTTCTACTTTGAACCTTAGTTTTAGGACGTATGTAGACTCTAAAGATTTATAATTAGGACATATGTAGGCTTTAGCGATTTATAATAGGTTTTAATCTAATGAATTGAACTCCTACGTTGAGCCTGTAAATGGCAGTTATCGGAAAATTTCCTATTTTTAGGTTCAAAAGAAGTTTTCTAAATAGAAGCTGTAGATTAAGTAATATTAAAAGAGGTCCTATTTGATTGTTTAAGTATCAAAACAGGTTTATGAGGTTTAATTGAGATTGAAAGAGATTGAAAGAGATTGAAAATAGGACTAAAATTTCGACTCGGAATAACAGCCGTTTTTTAATTTCAATTTATTTAATTTCTACGTCGTGTTGTATCGAATGCCATTGTGCGAGAGGCTGTCACCATGACCGATGACGTCACATTTCGTAAAACAAAGCTTTATCTGAGCATTCATCATACAAATTTGATTTTTTAAAATACTGTTTGATGATTATGTTCAAAATCAACGTAAAAAGGAATACGTTGGTACATTAAAACGTCACATATTTGCTACAAGCTAAATAATGAACCAAAAAAATTTGTATATCTCAAGAATAATCGAAACAAAGAATAAGAGAACTATAATTAGGAATAAAAATAATTTGAGTGAAAAATTGTTCATGAACGTGAGAATTGTAAAAAGCCATGAAAGCTTTTTATATTTAAAATGCTAGATAAACATAATCGTGTTTCAAAAAAAAAGTAGGACATTATTAATATAATGGAAACTTATTATAACATACTTAAACGTGCGCGATAAAATTAAAATATTTTATAGTATGCTGTTTTTAATTAAAACATTTTATGAAATTATTATTTCTTTTACAAATAATATCACATTACTTTAAATTCTTAGAGTTTAACCATTATACCAAACGTGATGAAATATAAAATAAAAAATGCGATAAAAATATGTTTTGCGATATTTTTAGAATGATTAAAAACTAAGATCAAGTAATCATTGATTACGATTATACTAATATTCTTTTATTTCAATTTCTCGTAGTTACCTATTTAAAACATAAGAGAAAAATAAATATAGATATAACTGTCAAAATGGTATGAAGCATAAGAGGTAAAAAATATTACTCTGTAGAATATTTATAAGAATTTCTCGGGGTCTTAACGTTCGTAGCAATCAATAACTGTGCATTACATTCCTTCAGTGAGAGATTTTCGATGTACCATCCGACAAGTCCTGAAACTTTTATTGGGCACACCTTGTAAAACCCTCTGACATCGACGTCCATCATTACAATACATTGCGCTTCCAGCGGACAGACGCCAGAACCGTTACTATGGTATAATTGAGTCTCGAAGTAGACGAGACACTTTTTTTATTTACATGGGGAGAAGATTTGATTTTTTTGGTGATGTTACTTCCAACGATTTCTGCATTATATTAAAAGATATATGATAAAATAAGGAAACATATTTTAATATTTTAATTATGTATGTGACTATAGATTTTTATATAAAATATGTTATAATTGTGTTTTAAATACTTAGATACTTTAAAAATAATTAAAAATTTGTTAATGTTATTAAAGTCTTACGTCATCTATATCAGAAGAAAACGTTTTATTATTACTTCACATTAATTGATAGTTACATAAAATTGTATTTATTACTTCACTACTGCTATTTTCACGATATATACAATGTGTGTGCACACACAAAAATAATTTAAAACTCATCAAACAATTAAAAAAAAATTTTTGTTGTTGTTTGATGAGTTTTAAATTATTTTTGTGTGTGCACACACGTTGTAAAATTTTGCTTTTAGATTCACGAATAAATTTGGTATAAGAAGAAAGAAGTGTATGAGTAATTAATAATTTAATAACTAATTTAGATATTTGTAATAGATATTTCATGTAATCGTGTGTAAAATGGTTTTTAGATGTAATATTTTTCATGGAAGCACATACACATTTATCTTAATATTTATTATTCTTTTTTTTAACAATAATAAATTCGTAATTGTATAATATATCAATAATTTTCGGACCTTTTGTTCAAATAATAATAATTTTGTATAAGTAATATGATCTTAATTTGACATGTAATTATTAAAATATTTCATATAAACAGTTCTATTTTATATAACAATTAAAAATTGGAAAATTATTTATGAAAAAATATTTATGGAACAAATAGTTTTTAATTATATTTTCCAATGAGAGGATGAAAAACTTGATCATAAAATTATTTTGAAACCAGTGTAATTATATACATACAATAAATAAAAATGTTATATATAGATAGTAAATAAATAAACTACATTTTATAGGGAGATGTGATTTTTATAATCATACATTCGTATCGTGATATAAATTGCGTCGCGTATTCGTCCGTACTCTTGCTGTTTGGTGAGTTCCAGCTGATTGTTCAAGCGTATTAATTGAATCTCGTCGCGAATCAGTCTGCTATCATTAATTCAGGACGTATTTAGGAGCAGCGGAAAATATTCCGTTCACGCTTCTCCGATATCTGCTTGTTATATCGTTCACGTGAGCATTTAATTACGTACGTTTGTCTTTGTAACGTCGTTGAAGACGTGAATTTCAGCCGCTCGGTGAGGTGTACTAACAAGATTTTGTCGTAGATCAGGATGGACTAGATCGCATTAATTCACATGAAGCCTGTAAGCTCTGAAAGACGTTGCCGCATTTTCCGCTTTTCCCGTGTTCAAATTTTTACAAAGATTTATGAGAGATATTTGTCAGACAGATTTGTCGAACAGCTTGACGTTTCTCGAAATAATGTTTTTTCTTAAGGAGGTTCTCGCGTTTAATGAAAAATAAGACAAGTCTATAATATACATGTAATGCAAAAGTTAATAATATCAATAATATCTAGAAAAAATTTCATTGATTTTTACCGTACCATTTTGAAAAGATATTTAATTCTAAATTTATAGAATTTTACATTACAAGTTGAAGGTATAACCTTATTCTGTAGTTATTCTCTTTCAAATTGAAACACTTGCGTATAAGACAGCAATTTAAAAATCGTTATAATCATAAAGTAAACACTTAAGTTTGTTCCCGTAAAGTTTCATTTAAACTGACTGTACAGTTTACAAGAAATTTATATTCTTCAATGAAAAAAGCTAGAATATATGTCAAATGGACGATACGTATACATCAAATGAGCATCTTACAACTTTTATTTTGTCATTTTGAAAATATTTAATAACATATAAAATTAACAATAATTATGTATAATGGCATAAGATATTGTTAGTAACCTTTTTATTCCATTATTTTAATTATTTTACATATTATTGTGAATAAACTGTTTATTGACTAGGAAGTAGTGCGAGAACCTCCTTAAATATGTATTTCTTTTATATCAAATATGCTTGTGTGTATTTCCTTCTGTAAATTAAGATTATTTATGTGAATATAATAATTCGATATATTTTTTCATATTACAGACTGCTGAAACGCAAATTTAATATTCTTTTTTAAATTCTATATTTTTGTATAAAGTTCAAGAAATTTTTATACATATAAATACTTTTTATGAGACTTTTAAGAATGCGAGGTAATTTTAAAACATCAGAAAATTGTTTAGTTATAATTAAATCTATTGAAACGTTACACTTATTTGCAATACAATTATTCTTTGCATATGACGTTACAATTCCTATCGTATAAAGAGAATATTTTATGCGTAATTGAAATGCTGCATGTTCGCATGTATTACAAACGAATTCCATACGGGATTGCTATTTGTATCATAAACGCGGGGAATCGCGGTAATGTAATGTACTTAATCATTTATTCATCTGTGGGATGTGGCCGTTAATTAAATTATTATTTTAAACAACATTTTAACATTTCTATAGAAATAATAAATGATCACGCTTTCCCGTAACAAGAGTCTTTCCTTTTCGAATTTTGTTCTAGAAATATAACCGTCGCGCGACTATAACGTGTGATATTGCACACACTCTATTGTCGAATTATTTTCTACTCTTATAAAGGTTGCACATAAGTCCTCTCTGAGGTTGAGTAAGTTTTCTCACATTACTAGGTCATACCTTCTCCATGTTGGATCTTTAATAATTGTCCAGGTTGGATTGAAGCTGATCCTTGTGCAACATTTTATATTTGAACGTGTTAATAATTCCATCAATCAGGATAAAACTAACATTTCCTTTTTATTTTCTGCACCTTCTTCGTATATGTGCTCGTCCCATATATTTGTTTTGACTATATGTGGATTATTCCATTCTCATGCATGCATAGAACGCATAAGGTTTCTTCTACGTATATCCAGTTGACTTTCTTTTTAAATTAAATTTCTTGTATAGTTA